GTATTAAACATCACTTGTCTTTAAACCTAAAAGCCTGTATTTGCTGCACTACAGACAGGATTTTCCAAGTTTTATGGAACATGAAGTATCAACAACCAGCCTGTATTTACTGTATCTGTTTCTGTTGGACGTGAATTCATCAGAAGACGGTTTGATGGTTTACTCACCAAGAACAGTCAGTTTTGTTCCCTGGCCAAAATAGGCCTCAGCATTGACACAGCGTTTAGGGTTAACATCAGAAACCTCTGAGCTGAACTTAAACCATAAAGACAGTCGGTTTCTTAATGCACCAGTCCAGTAACAAAACCTGTTACGTTTGTTCCAGCGTCATCTTCCTTTACTTACCTAGAACAGTCAGCTTTGTTCCTTTTCCAAAGTACGCTTCGTTGACATTGTCACAGTGCAAAAATACTGAGCATGAAACTCCTCTGTATCTTTAGAAAGATTTGACTAATTCTTCAGTTTATACTGAGGCTCTAACTCACATGACATTTCTCAGAATGCTGTAATAAACTGAAGTATTTACCTAAAACCGTCAGTTTGGTTCCTTGTCCAAAGTAAGCAGGCTCAGTGTAGGTCACAGTGTTCTCTGTTCAGCCCAATAGTTCAGCTTCTTCATAACAACACATTTGTCCTTCACACTCGTACGAACAGTTTTACTTTTTTAGGCTTGTTGCAGTGAAGTGAGGCTGTGAGAGCTCCGACTTACCCAAAACTGTGAGTTTAGTTCCTTTTCCAAAGTGAGCTTCACTTCCAGTGTCACACTGACTGTGTCCTCTACCAAAAAGTCACAAAACTATTTATAATCAGCATGTTGAGACACAGTCTGATAATCCAGGGGACGAAGAAGGTTTAAACATGCAGGACGAGCTTCATAAAGTCCAAAGTTGAGTTTTTTCTTTAGACAGGTAAAAGAAGAATCCAAAGGCTTCACATAGGATTTAAAAGGACATTTTAGAACTTATTTCCATCAGACTTTCTGCATATAAATTGACCTTAGGAAGCTAAAATGTCCCGATATCCTGCACACCTTCAGAATATCGAAGCTTTGTGCTCTACCAAGTGTCCCAAGCTGCATGTAGCAGCCTACACAATGGCAGTTAATGGGAGGAGGTTTTTGTACAGCGGCTCTATAGGATTGTATCACCGTGGCCCCCTGTCCCCACGGTGAAAAGGCATCACACAAAAACCTGACGTGTGTTTGGTTCTCTCCCCTCTCCTTCCCCCACCCAGCTCCTCCATATCTCAGTCTCCATCTCTCTCAGCCTGTGAGAGCAGCTGTACAGGTCGGGCTGACTGACGGCTGAACGGGCCCCGACCTGACTGCTGCTATTTCTGTGACAGCTAAGAAAAGCAGCCAGAGTGGAGGGAAGGAAAAGGGAAGGAACTGGTTTGGTTGGTTTGTTTATGTAGCTGCTCAGAGGAAGTGACATCCCCGCTGGTCACACCTCTTTATCCACCCAGCTGTCAGTCAGGAGAGACGCATTTAGAGAGTACTTTCGATCAAACAAAGTGAACAACATAAAGTCAATTTACAGTCTGACTACATCAGATTTATCCTAACATATATTTAGCTTGTGATTAAATAATTTACTAATGATTTCATGGCTTTAAAAAATATAAAATATACAAATATTTCTCCCACTTTATGTGGAAATAATAAATAAAATAAGTATGTAAAGACAAGCTTTGTAATTAAAGTAATGAAAGAAGTACTCCAGTCTTTTACTTAAGTAATCAGCAATTCCACGTGTACGCATCATTGTTAGCATCAAAATTAATATAAAGTACCAAATGTAATACACACTATACACTGTATGCACTGTACACAATGATAACTGATGCATCACTTATTTCAACTGGTAAAGTTGATGCTAATTTTAAGTACTTTGTAAACTACACAATACTTTAATCTCTGATAATGTGCCGTAATCTATTTGTCAGTGATGCTTTGTATTATTAATGTGCACAATATTCACCTTTGAAACTCACTGGAGTAGAAGCATGAAGTAGCATAAAATGGAAATGGGTTTCTAAAGCACAAATATCTCTGAACTGACTGAGTAAATGGACATAGTTACATTCTACCACTGCAAATTAGCTTAGCCTGTAAATAACATGATAAATATGATAGTGCACGTGACTTTAGTGTATGCTTACATGTACATTACTATAATAATAATTTAAACAAATTGAATGCATTGTTTTTATAACCTATTACTCTGTCTGTTGAGGTGTTACAGTGCACAGCCAAGATTTAATTAAAATTATTATTTAACCAAAGGACTGGTGGCACAAACCATGTGAAACTGAAACATTTAAGTCCTTTTATATTTAGCTACATAATTTTGTTCTGCAGATGTCACATATATGTCATATGTAAATGATTCCTTTATTGTCATTTTGGCTTCCATTTACCGTTTTACCCAGCCTGTAATCCCACGTGGCCCCTGCAGAGGTCAGTGTGTGATAACCTCTGAAACTGCATGTACTTGGTTTTGTCAGGCTGCACAGTTACAGTAAAATAAAGTAGCCAACACTTCATCAGAGTGTGACACATGAGACACTGTTCAGGACAATAATACAGAATGTGGCAAATAATGTTTACCATATTAACACCTGCTCACTTATCACTGATCAGCTTTGTGGTGTTGCAGAAACATCGCTGAAGTGTGGAGACTTGGGTCTTGTATCTTTTATGAACTAATAGATTTTTCATTCTGCTTTTTAAAAATGTTTTATTGCATATTTTCATGTCACACTGATGTTTGTCTATTGTCACTTCAACCAAATCCTGCTCAGTGCCCTCTGGAGTCCAACACGTTGACCATCCCCACTCATCCCTCCTCTATGTTGTGTCTTCTTGGTGAGGTTGTTGTGTAGCTGCTGAGGCTTTGTCAACCACCGTGCTCTACTAGAGGCACAGTAATACACAGCTGAGTCTCCAGCTTCAACACTGTGTATCTGTAGTGAAGATTTGAGCACTGCAGGCCGGGACATGTTGTACTTGGATTTGTTGAAAGGAGCCTCAATGCTCCACAAGCCTTTATTAATAGAATATGTGACCAGCTGTATTTTCCCACTGCTGCTCTGTCTGTACCAGTACATGTAGTAAAACAGCTCGTCATCTTGTTCGCACTGCAAAGTTACAGCTTTGTCTTGTTCACTGAATACAGATGGAGGCTGGTTAACTTTTACACAGAGGGAGAAATCTGGAAAACAAGAAAACACAGCAGCAAACAAATTCAATCTTCATCTGGGACATCTGTAAAGGAAACATATTATTTTTTCAACTGAATTTAAATATTCTTACCAGAGAAGAATATAACTGCAACTAAGAGGAGCTTCATTTCCATAGTGATCAGATTAAGGGTAAATAAAATAGACCCATTTATTGTACATTTGCGACCATAACTCGGACTGAACAGCTGCGGCTGGAACTTACTGTGCTCCTACAGTCAAACCTATTAAATAAGCTCTGATCCTCTCCCTCTTCCCTTTTTTGTTTTTCAGACTACTACAAGAAGGTCAGAAGGCGTTTCTCAGAACAGCTACAGTCTCCTAGTGGCCGCGAGCAGCGACTCCAGGTTACTTCCCTTGTTCAAGAGCACTGTGGTTCTTAGAAGACTTTACACTTTTAGTTGCCTATTCAACAACTGATTAGATTAACACCATGTAGTCACCGCAGGAGGAATTAAACAGGTGATGGAGAGTATTAACAGTTCTGAACATGTAGATATATTAATTGCTCTGCCTTAACCAGCCAAGTGGGATCACTCTTGGAACAGACAAATGTGCCAGTTCACTAGTTTAGTCCAGACTGACATGATACCACAAACACTGGATGGATCACTTTGAAAGTTTTTTCACAGATATTCTAGACAGCTGGTGATCTCCTGACCTTCTCTTCTGTGCCACCATTAGGTCTGAGTGAAATGTCTCAACAAATATTTGATAGATTCTTGTGAAATTGGTTACAGATATTCGTGTTCCCCACAGTTGTAACACATAAAATGTTTGGTCATTCCTTCACTTGTATTTGGCCCCATCATCAGGTCACAAAGTTGAATTTAGTGTTTTAGGTACCGTGACACCCCACAGTTACTTAGTGGAAGGAAGAACTATGTGTCTGCATTTTATTAAATGTTTAATTTAAAACAAGCAATTGATCAAAGATCAACAGTATAAATAAAATGGGAAAAAATAATTTAATTCCATTAAATATACCAAGTAAATAATGTGATTTTGTGATGACCTCACTGTGATATAACATACATTTGCTTAATCTCACTGTTACATTATTTGCAAATACATTTATGAAATTATCATAATTGTAGACGTGCACATAATATATCTTTACTTTAATGTAGCCATTGGATTGTATTAAATCATTGTTTGTAGATATAAACAGGTTATTGTAGAAGCTACATGTTCATGTTACTGCATCTTATATTATTCAATAATTAATTAAAGCACACATTATTTAGCATTACATCACACTGATTAAACTCCAAGTAATAGCATATTTTCAACAGTTATAAAATTGAAACTGAACAGCAGCTGTCATTAGCGTTCCATCGGTGGGTTTTAGTGAAGCGGTGGTGTTAAACCACATCACTGTGTGCTAGCAGCGCAGAAATACACAGCTGAGTCTGATGGCTTCACTGGGTCGATGATCAGAGATCCTGTTATCATGTCTTCTCTTTTTAACTTGAATCTTTCTCTGAACTGTCCCTCGAGGTTTGGTTCACCGTAAACCACTGTGTACCCAATGAGGCTCATAGACCGACTGCTCTGCCTGTGCTGGTACCACAGCATCGTTGCAAGGCTGCTGTCATCGTGACTGCAGTTAATCCTGAGCTCCTTAGTCCCTTCATTCACAACTTGAGAAGAGGACTGTTCAAAGGCAACGCTGTCCACGTTTCCTGTGAAGAAAGTCGGTGTAATGTGAGGTAAAGTTTGAATTCAAGCACAGAAATTGGGGGAAAATCAGAGAACAGAAATCTGTTGCAAGAGTGCAAAACTCTGAGAGCACAGGTTGATGATCTGCAAACAAAGGGCAACAAAGGAGAAAGGAGTCTCATGGCTCAGGTGGCCTCACTTCGATCTCTTTTGGAACAAAATGAAATAGAGAATGGGAGTTTGTTGGCAGAGAACAGAAATCTGTTGCAAGAGTGCAAAACTCTGAGGGCAAAGGTTCATGATCTGCAAACAAAGGGCAACAAAGGAGAAAGGAGTCTCATGGCTCAGGTGGCCTCACTTCGATCTCTTTTGGAACAAAATGAAATAGAGAATGGGAGTCTTTTGGCAGAGAACAGAAATCTGTTGCAAGAGTGCAAAACTCTGAGAGCAAAGGTTCATGATCTGCCAACAAATGGCAACAAAGGGGAAAAGAGTCTCATGGCTCAGGTGGCCTCACTTCGATCTCTTTTGGAACAAAATGAAATAGAGAATGGGAATCTGTTGGAGGAAAACAGAAATCTGTTGCCAGAGTACCAAACTCTGAGAGCACAGATTCTTGATCTGCAAGGAAATGAGAACAGAGAGATGAAGAGACTCAAGGCTGAGGTGGACAAGCTTAAATCTCGCTTAGAGGAAAAAGAGGCAGATAATGAAAATTTGCAAGGAAGAAATCATTATCTTCAGCATCGGACAAAGACATTAAGTGAAGAGAATAAAAAACTGAAGTCTAATGTACAAGAACTTCAGCACCAAATAAAGGAACATCAGCAGTGCCAACAGAATAATGCTGAACAAATACCAGGGCTAACCAGACAAATTAGACAAATGCAGCAGAAGTCACCAAACATCTTACAAACCCCTCCTTTTTCAGCCAGTAACATGTCAAGTGCCATTCTGTTTTGGAAAGCCATAAGAGATGTGGCCCCCAGCTGTTCAGCTATTCCTTTCATGGCATCTCTGGTGTAATTAACAAATCTCTGTTGATTATAGTAAATGTAATTAATCCATCTTACATTTTTATTAACAGTAGGCCACACAAATACGGACTCAAATCCAGCCAGAATTTGATTTCTGGCTTTGAATTCATCTGGGACACCCCTGGGAACACCAATCGCATCAATGTAAATGTGGCTGTCAAAAGAGCCACCAGGGGCAGCTCTCCTATGACGAAGATGGGACGTTTTAGAGAGTTGATTAATCAAGTCATCTCCGCTAATGGGGAGCATGTGAAAGGGCATTAGCAATTGAACGATGGCACAAGACCCAGCCCAGTCTGGTGGTAACACAGGCCTTAACTTACGATCACCACATAGCCACCACAAATCAGCCCTAGAGGTGCTATGCTGAAGAAACTCACTAAATGCATAGCCCTCATTAGGGCTGGTGATATTTAAGTCTTCTGAGCATTAACTTTTAGGCAACATTCCTACATCAACTCCTCCCCCAGATCTAGTGAAACAGGAGTAATTTCCTGGATACACTATCACTGATGGGGGGATGTCAGGTCTTTGGACTGGCGGGAAGAGAAAATACAGAGTTCTACATGTTTCTTCAGTAGGGACTGCTGCACTCCCAAACAATCTCACTGTACATCTAAGGCCCACAGGATCATTCTGATTATTTAGCTTGAAGGGGCCAGTACCCAGAATTGGTCTAGCCTTAGCACAAGCTACGCAATCAATGTTATTAGTACTGGCAGCTGTGTATTGAACCCATTTTAACCACATGTTACTATCATCATATCCAGTTTCAATAGCTACTTTTTCTTCATAAGTAAAAGAGGTCAATTTTGAGTAATGGACTCCTGGGGAGTTTGAGGGACCTAGGGAATCCTGTTGAGGTGGCGTTGCCTGAAAACGGAAGGGTCCCATGAACCGTTTTCCTAGCATATTCACTGCCAGCATAAATACATGGTCGGCATCCTGTACTTTGGGAGCGGGTAAGAGTGATGCCTAGCATCACTTTTCCATCTTGTATCCCTGCTTGTATCTGTTCCAGTGTTAGCAACAACATCCTCAAATCCCCAACACATAGATGTAAGGTCATGGTGAGGGGAAGGGAGAGGGAATTTACGGGCAAGATTCCCTGGTCTGCGTATGCACACAAGGTACCGTTGTTGATGCATCACAGTAGCTGGTGCATTACATGGTAACACCTTACAGGCGTCAATTTGTACTGCACAAGAAACACCTTCCACACACTTGATCGTGATGTCACCATCGTGAGAGGTCACGGTATGTGGGTTGCGAATCAAAAGCCTGGAGACTCTTGAGGCAGTTGTCGTGTTCACCGAATTGCTTGATGTCTGAGCTCGTGTCCAGAATAATATGGGGAGTGTGATTATCAAACTAAGCAAGACCAAAACCAATAGTGTTCCCCTTAAGCCACAAAGGCCAGGGTGTCTAAATGGATGCCATGGTCATCTGGTAAATATTTCCATGGCTCCTTAGAGGGCTATTATCAATAAGCTGTCAAAATCAAAAT